TTTGTGTGTGTGTTTTTTTTACCTTAGTGTACACCAAGTGAGATCTTCCCATCATCCCTCTTTGTTAATTCAATTTTTATCTGGACAAGGTTTCCATGACATTAAGTTTGAATGTCATGGGATGATATTTGTCCCAATTGAGTCACTTACGGTACCCGATTTATAAATTGGTAGTTCTAACCTCTCATGATTTCTTGTTAAACCCTCACTTTGGTCCGACCCGAACTCACCTCCTCTAATTGCACTCCTCAATTATAGATTAAAGTTCATGTTACAATTGAAAGGGATAGACTCATTGGCAAAGTAAGGGAGCTTACCGGGGGTGGATGTAGGAATTACTCCGTATAAATTTTATGAATCGAGCACTATAAATGCCTAATAGAGAGTAATGTCATCCCATGACATTTAGTTGATCCCTTGACATTGAAACTTAATGTCATAGGGGGTAGTTGCCATGGTGCTATAAATCATTACCTCGTAATGTTTTTTAGCTACATATTTGCTGTTGAATGCTTTTTTCTCACAATCATACTCCCTCCATCCCATAATTGATTACAATTTTGTTTTCTCTCATCTCTCGATAGTTTTTATTTATTTGTTTGTTTCATTGATTATTTGATAAAATAAAATATTTTTGTACGCTCTTATTTGTAGAACTTTTGATGTAATTTTTTAATATATAATTTTTATTTTTTATTGATATACCAATTTGTAAATAAAATGATTTCAAAAGATGAAAAATTTTGCCTCGTAAATCCTAATTTGTAATCAGATTTGGAACGGAGAGTATCATTCTATGTAGCATTCTATTGATATACCAATTCAATAACTTTTACTTATTTGTTTGTTTTCATTGATTATTTGATAAAATAAAATATTTTTGTCCGCTCTTATTTGTAGAACTTTTGACATAATTTTTTAATATATAATTTTTATTTTTTATTTATATAAAAAAGATTAGAAATTTTACCTCATAAATCCCAATTTGCAATCAGATTTGGGACGGAGGGAGTATCATTCTTTGTGGCATTCAAGGCTCTATCTTCTTCCTTTTTCTTGAGGGTATGCCTAGACCTAGAAGATAAGAATACTTAGTATCTGCAATGGACGTAATTCACTAATTCCGTTGCAAATTTCTGTCGCACATCTGCAATACAAAAGAAATGTTGTAGCTGATTTTGGTGGTGCGCTTGGGTGTCGCTATAGCGCATATAATATTTAAAATCCGTCGCATATATGAACAACATTTCCAACAACACCGTACTATTTCCGTCGTAGAGTCGTTGTTGCAAATTTGAACCAAATAAAAAATATATTGCATATTTGATGGCTATCCGGGCCCAAAGAACGCGAATGAACAGCCCAATTGTAGAAGCGATTTGGACCGGTGTTGGGAAAGGCCCAGATTCTAGTCAATTGGCCCAAGCATAAAGAAAAGGCCTTGAACAGTGCAAGGACATGGGAAGATTAAGGGAAATATGGTGAACTACCACGATTGGTGGGAGAGCGATAATGGCGAGAATTCTGTGCACGATGAGTGCCATTATGTATGTAACCTTAGGTAATATATATAGGGGGAGAACCCTCCATTTTAAGGCAAGTGAAAAACACTAAAACACAGTTATTAATAGAAATATTGTGAGATTTATCAATTACCAATTATCATTCATTCATCGCCGCCATAGTTGTTGGGCTAATTCCCATCATTAATGCTTTCATTGAGAGTCGAACTCAAGTGTTAGAGATTGTGAGTTGAGAATATGGTCGGTCGAAGGACGAGAAGCTCTAGGTGCACTACTACAAATTCTCCAGTCTTCAGCCACGCCAAGAGTTCCTGATAACACTTTCAGATTGATTATTTGGGCGTTCAGTCCAAAATTAATCGGATAAAACTCAAACTCTTGATCAAGAACAAGTATATATGTGATGAATTTTCGAACTCACTCTATATCGACCACACTTTGTCGGATTCATATCGCCGCAGAAGGAAAGAAAAGATGCTGTCGCGCCTCCTTTCTAAGATTCGCGTCTAGTTGTGCGAGATTTAGGAGACAACGATTTTTTGGAAATTCTTATACCCAAATTCTGAAAATTAAAAATTTGACCTCAGCCACGGGCTCTGCCCCTTGGACCCAGCAGGGGCTGCCACACCACTAAACTTCTTTGATGATTATTCAGATATCATTGATAAAGTAGTTATTTCAATTACACTAAATTATATTACACTTCAGAGGATTCAATGATTTCTCAAACTCTATTAGAGAGTAGATCTAAAGCGGTTCGGGGAAAACGACCATACACAGTTTCTCCTAGACTTGTCAAAACAGAACCAAAACTGATTACCCGAATCAAATTATCTGAAACCGAAACCGAAATGATCCGAAAAATGAAGATCCGATCTATAACCGAGAACCCAAAATAATCCGAACCGAAACCGAACTAAATAATTCATATCCAATTTAAATCCGAAAGAGATTAGATCCGAAACCGATAATATCCAAACCGATTAAACCTGAAACCGATAATACTCGAAACCGATAAAACCCGAAACTATTGTACGTATAATATTTGATGAAAAAGAATTAAACCCGATAAAACCCAAAACATATATGCGATGAAAAAGTAATGTCGTAGCTGCTTTTGGTGGCGCGCTTGGGCAGCACTATTGTGCGTATAATATTTGCGACAAAGAATTAAAATCTGTCACAGATATGGACAACATTTCCAACAACACCGTACTATTTCTGTCGCATAGTCGTTGTTGCATATTGGAACCAAATAAAATATATATTGCATATTAATACATTGAACAAATGTAATTCACAAAGATCTAGTTCGAAATTATTGTTCCCAAATAAGGTCATAGGGTTAAAATATGTTTAAATATTTGTTTGATTTCATAATAAATGACCTTAGGTTTTTTTTTGAAATATGATGATAATGATATGTGTTAATAACTTTCAATCCTATAGTTGGTTTTGCAAAATGAATAATATTACCTTCGTTTCAAAATAATATTATTTATTTGAACGACGTGCAAAATTTCGTAATTTTTAAAATGATTTATTCATAAATTAGTATAAAAATAAAAAACAAAACTTACATTTTTACAAACTACATTAAAGTTCTATAAAACAAGAGGTGCAAAAAATATTTTTTATTTATGAAATGATCATTAAAAATATGCAAACAAACAAAGGTTGTTTAGAAAAATCCATAATTGTAAAAGATTAAATTATTTTGTGATGGGGGGAGTAGTTAGAAAGATATGAATCCACCAAATGAACTTGGATTTTTGTTAAACATTATAATAATAATGATGACGATATATGTGTTAATAATTTTCAATCCTTTCATAAAATAAATAATATAAATAAAAGAAATAAATGTTGTACAATTTGTAGTATAATAAAAAATTATGGTAAAATTATCCTCTACTTTTAAAAGGAGTTATATGCATAAATAATCTCTTTGATATTCCATAAGTGGATAAATATTACTCAAACTTTCAAATTTTGAAAATAGTCCATTTGGTCATAAAATCGTTGCATAATTAGTGGGAGTTCATTCTTTCATTGTGATATGTAAGTTTTAAGTGTAATAGAATATCTTTTTTCTTTTGGTTCAACACTAACAATAACTACTTCATGCCTTTTATAGTAACTTTAATTTCTTGAAAAGTAAAACAATGTTTAAAACTCGACATTATTTCATTCTTTAAATAATTTTATTATAGGGTAATGTAGTATCGTATAAGAGGTGAAAGATGACTTTTCCCTGCTTTTAACCATGAAGACAAGAAAAATTATTCAGATTAGCTCTTTATTTTTTTATATGTTTCACATTTGTGTATAGTATGCACGTGTTTTACATTTTTCCTTAAAGAAATCATATATATCCTATATCCTATCCTATATATATATGTAAAGTTGGGTTAATCTCTTGGAGTGTTGACATGTGGCATGCCACATGTGCATCCACATGTGCATTGAGATGGATAAATTTCATTGGTCCATTTAATTTTTTTAAAAAAAGATCTTTTAACACATATTTATTTTATTACATTAAATAAATATTATATTTTAGTACTAAAAACATTATTTAATTATACGTTGTATAAAAAAATATCATTTTTTAACAATTTTATAAAAATATATTTCATCATCGTAAAATATACTTCCATATATATATATATATATATATATATATATATATATATATATATATATATATAGACACACACACATATTCTCTAATGATGTATCATTATTTAATAAGTCCATTTTTTATAATGTTTTATTAATTAAAACTATTTTCGTTAGTAATTCATTCAATAATAGCGATTAGTTTTGTATAAAATTTTTGTTTTTAAATAAAAATACCAATATACATTCTACCAGTTTAAAACATATTTTGTTTACATAATCAAATTATATCTATAAATATTTTTTTAACTTTATCAGTGTTTTGAAAAAATAAGTTCCATATGATTTTTAAAAACAATAAATCATTTCTTGATTCTTAACAAAATAAGTTCCATATGATTTTTAACTTTATCAGTGTTTTTAACTTTATCAGTGTTTTGATTCTTGAAGAAATATTTGCACTAAATATCACTAAAACTTAAGTCATTTCCCTAAATAGCACTTAAATTATTTTATTTCCTAAATAGCACTTAATAATGTCCATAATGTCCAGTGATGACGAATATTTACTTGAATAATGACTAATACATAATGACTAAAAGTGCTACATTGGGAAGAAAAACACATGTGGTGCTATTTAGAGAAAGTCATTATGTTTTAGTGCTATTTAAGTAAATTCCTCATTTTTGAATACCATTAGATTTAGAAGGATGAAGGACTTTCATTCCATTGTACTTCGTGTTTTATCTGTATTTTATTGCGCCCTATCATATTTTTTGTGCAGGTGGAGCCGGGGGTCTCTTGGAAACAGCCTCCCTACTTCCGAGTAGGGGCAAGGTCTGCGTACACACACCCTCCCCAGACCCTACTGTATTGGGATTCAACAGGATTGTTGTTGTTGTTAGATTTAGAAGGATATATTAAAATCTGAATTGAATATATATCTAGATTTTAAATGACTTTAAAAAATCTGAATTGAATACTCAGACTTTTGAAATCTAAAAAAATACTACAGAATCCGGATTGAATAGACCCCTAAATCATTTTAGGGAGTACTAGAATAAGGAATAGTTTCACACAAATTGAGTGGCCCCAGTCAGAGTACTCCCGTAATGCATGGTCCCACCCGGCGAGGATCCATGCCGAGTGGCATCGTAAATTTCACCGTCGCCCCACACGGCGTAGGCCTCCTCGCCGTGGACGGCGTCGTCTCCTATCTTGAGCTCCTCCTCCGGCATCCTCAGCGGGACAATTAACCTAATCGCGAGACAAATAATGGATGTCACGACGACGTTCCACCCGATGACGAAACTGCCGCCGACGAACTGCTTGAGGAATTGAATCCCGCCAGATCCGCCGTAGACGGCGCCTCGCGAGTTGGTTACAGGGAGGAAGAGGCTGCAGAGAACCGGCTCGGCGAAGAGGCCGGTGAGGCAGCCTCCGAGGAGACCGGCGACGGCGTGGGTGTGGAAGACGCCTAAAGTGTCGTCGATGTTCTGGAGTAGGGTCCACCGCTTGTGGAGGATCATCATTGTGAGCCACGGGATGCTTCCGGATAGAATTCCCATTATTATGGCCGCCCATCCTTGAACCAAACCTGTTTCATTCCGACACTTTTGGGTAAATGCAATGGAGACCCTTCAATGCAAGATGAAAGAAAAGATGATGGAATCCAATATACGTGCATAAATTATTTAGAGTGTAATTCAATTAAATAAGACTAAAACATAATGACTTTCTCAATATAGGATTATATGTTTTTATTTTCCAATGTAGAACCATTGGTCATTATCTATTAATCATTATTCAATTAAATGTCCAACATTACTTGGACATTTTTGTTCTCACCAGTCATTATTAAGTCTTATTTAGGAAATAAAAAAGTTTAAGTCCAGCCTACACTGGGAAATGACTTATGTTTTAATCTTATTCAGTGCAAATTTAACTTATTTATATGCACATTATTGCTAAATGATACCACTAGACAAAAATACGAGTTAAGTAATCAATATTTTTTATAAAAACATCTATCTAATCAACCCCCTCTAAGTTGTGTTTATACTAAATATGAGGAGTTGACTTATAGTGTCAAAACATTGCGTCTGTTTTTGGGAGCACCACACTCATATCATTGGGATGTTGCTATATAGGTACTCCATTACATAAACTTTTATCTGGGCTAAAGAATTTTCTTGTAGGTTTATTATGACTTCTTACTCTCTAGATATTGAGATTCAATTTGAACTAGTTCTCCGATGACTAGCTAGTCGGTAGATCATAGGATACCTTATTCGTTTGGAGAACTTGACCATACCTTGAAAGGTGATGAAACATAAGATAATCTCCTGTTCTTCAGCATAGACAAAACATAATATTCAATAGCTTCTATACTGAGTGAGCTCAAGTGACTCAAAACCCGCCCTGCACTTTTCGTTGGGTGTATCATCCTCAGCACATCTGATTGTGTTGTGAGTCAAGAAACTCTCCATTTCGCAATATCATCAATAGTGTTTCATAAATGCTCCAAACACATTGAGGATAATTTCCATTTTTTTCATTAATAGACACATCATGGCATTCATTAAGAGGATGTTTAATTTCTCTGTGCCGGTCTTATTGACTTGTTGTTTATAAGTAGTTTTTTTACTTATAAGATCCTTATAAGTTAAGTAATCTTTCTTCGAAGCTAAGTAAAATGACTAAAATTATAGATAAGTTATTTGGCAATATTTATAAATTAAATGGCGAGGAATAGTTTTGTAAATAATCTTGTCAAAATGGATTTTTGAGAAAAATAATTTAAAATTAAATAGGTAAGACCTACTTATTTTTTTTCTAGCTTATAAACATCTTATAAGTTAGCTTATAATACAAAAAAACATGTCATCAGCTGACTTATAAGTTAAAAACAAACTTATAACACAAAAATGCCCACTAAGCGACTTATATTGTCAATGTCGTCCTACCACGGCTAATAACCAAGATTTTGAATCCTCATGCCCTAGCTTGAATGCAATTTTTAATGTTATTGATATTTCTTTTTCATTTACTCCCTCCATTCTAAAAAACACTCCTTGTTTTTTTGGGATGTACCATAAAAAACACCCTCATTCCTTTTATACTCCATATAAAACTTTGAGTGCGAAAAATCTTTCTCTCTCTTCTACATTATTACTTTCTACCTTACATTTTTAACTTTTTTTAAAACTTTGTGCTAAGTCAAGCTGTGAGCTTTTTTTTGGACGGAGGAAGTATTCAAATATGGTTAGATGTATGAGAAATTTACCTAAATAGGACTAAAACATAATGACTTTCCCAATATAGAACCATATGTTTTTATTTCCCAATGTAGGACTTTTGGTCATTATCAAGTAGTCATTATTCAAGTAAATGTCCATCATTACTGGACATTATTCCTTCCACTAGGTCATTATTAAGTCCTATTTAGAGAATAAAAAAGTTTAAGTCCTACATTGGGAAAGTCATTATGTTTTAATCCTATTTAGTGCAAATTTTACTAGATGTGTATTGCGGCCAGTGGGAAGTGCATTGTGGAAAGATTTTATGTATTCATAAAGTTGGAAAATTACAATAACTTTTATGCTTGTTTCGGTACTTTTCTTATGATTTAAAATGCAAATAAAGTGGCCGAGGGAGGTGAGGAGTGCATATATGAATGCATACATACCTGCACCAGGAGTGATGCAGACGAGGCCAGTGATCATTCCCTGAACGGCTCCAATGACAGATGGCTTGTGGAAAAAAATGACATCAAGCCATGTCCAAACTAGCAAGCTGGTGGCGGCACAGATGTTGGTGTTGAGCACCGCTAGGGAGGAGTCGATGTTGGCGGCGTATGGGTCTCCGCCGTTGAACCCGGCCCACCCCATCCATAGCAGCCCAGCGCCGGCTAGCATCAACACCACATTGTTTGGCGGGAACCGCTCTCGGTCTGCTTTACATCTTGGCCCCACCTATATTTATTCCATAGATTATTGATATGTTATGGGGGGATGCGGTCTATGACGATCCGTGATATTATTAGAACCTATCGCGGATCGCTCTTACCTAAACGGTTATTTATTCCATATGTTTAATTGTAGGCTCGAGTCCACGTTCTAGATATGAAGATGCAAGAGTCACAAACAAACAGTTCACAAACTTCACAAACTTGTTTTTTGTGGATTTTAAATTTAAATATTTTTTTATTATTTGAGTGCATCTTGTTCCTAGTAAAATGTTAAAAAGGGAAGTTTTTGAATTTTGTGAACTGTTTGTTTGTGACTCTAGGGTTACTCTTTTAGATAAGGACCATTTCTTTATAAAAAAAATAATAAGCCCCTTCCCCGAGAGCTCATTTAAACCTGATCACACAATTATTGAGCGAAGATAAATTAAAATTTAATCTCATATTACTGGTAAAAAGTGGAGTTTACATTTAATACTTACGGATACCTTACGTTTAGCATAATTCTCTCTCAACATAGTTGGCAGGAATCAAACTCGGGTCTATCCCCTTGACACTCTTTACCATAATAGCAGTGTAATGTAAGAGTGTTGGCAGTGTGAAAGAAAAGTGATGAAAATGTAATATGGCAGTGTGATCATGCAATCATCGGCTAATCACTGGTCAACGTCGGTGATCAACGGCGGTACTCTAGTGGCCGCAGCGACAAGTGGCAATGTGGCAGTTGTAGTGTGAAAATGTGATGAGTGTGATAATTTAACAATGACCGAATGAACTCTTTTTTTGGTTTTAAAAGACTTATATATGACTCCTATTTTGATATTTTCATAATTTTTTTACTTCATCCAGAGAGTTCTCCCAAAAATATTACAATGAATCTAGTTTGTAACAAAAATAGTTAAACATATGAAAAAACTTTTTAAAAAATAGTATACATTTCAATATTTTTTGATTTTTTCCAACATATTTTATTTTTTCAACATTTTCTAATTACTTCAAATTTTTCCAACTATTTCTAGTTTCTCTAACTCCTTACTAATTCTTTAACTCCTAGTTTTTTTTCAACATCTCTCACTTTACCTTCAACTCTTTTCGTTTATATAACATTTAAGATTGAAATTCTAACTCAAAAGAACAAACCTTTAATTAGCAGTTTTTTTTGTTCTTCATAATTTTTTTTGAAACTTCTTCATAAATATTTAATTTGTGTTCTATCCAAGTAAGTTTGGATTAGGTCAAGTGCGGGTGATATATAGTCTAGTCACAGTTTGGGTATGAATCGAGTCAAGGTGATTAACATGAGTAGATTTCAATTAAGGTATCTTTTAATTGCCTAATCTGATCTGTTTTTCTGAATATGTGGTCTGATCTGATCATTTTAGATTTGATATGATTTTAAGGTAGTTATACTTAGAATTTTTTGTGATTTATTCTGATCTGGTCTATCTGTATTTATTAAGAATAAGCTAAGTAATAAGTTGAAAAAATAAATTGAACGGAAAGAAGCCTAATGCTTTGACCGGTAAGTTTTTTTCTTGAATTCAAATGTTTTATTTATCCATTTTTTTCTTGAATTTAAAAGTTTTTCCCCTATTCATTTTTATTTATCTGATTTCTTATTTTAAAAAAATCTCATTCAGTTTTGTTTTTAATTTCACTCGGTGGTTGTTTTTGTTGTTGTTTTGTTTAAAATTAGTATAAATTGTTCTATGGGTTACAGATTCTTTTTTGTTGGTGGGATAAAGAAGTGGATATGAAGGTTATACCGGGTTTGTTGTTGATTGTTCCTTCTTCCATTATGTTTTTTTTATGATATGAAATGTTTGATATTCAATATTTGTTTTTTCGGTGTTTTGATTATTATTTTGGTTCTCTTTCATTTTGGCAAATATTTGGCAATTCAGATTATTTTATCTGGTTTTAGTTAAAGACTCAACTTTAAGGGTGTGTGCCACTTACCACATTGAGGATCTTGGTTCATCAGATTTAAAATTGAATACAATTTTGTTCTATTTATACTTACAAATATTTAGAGGTAGTGAAAGTTTTTTATTTTTGTTGGACAATAGCTTCGAATTTAGTCTCTAAAGTTGTTTTTTTTATTTAAATTTAAAATGAAAATTTTTAAATTAAATGTGATAATTATTTACTATAATATCCTTTCTAATAACATAGATTGTTTTAAATGATCATTTGAAGATTGGAGAAAGGCAACATTGATGCTTGAAGAAATTAAACCCAAGGTTGAAAGATCCATTAAAAAAGGTCAGTAGACGACTTCGTTAGAGTGCCATCAAAGTAGAGAGCCATTGACCTGTTGTTCCTTATATTACGAAATGCCTTGGAGCTTTTTTTTCGCCAATATTTTATGGTGGAGCTTTTTAGAGTGTGTCTAAACTTTTTAGCTGTATTTGAACCAATTGAATGTTGCATTTTGTTTTTAATCTTCGGTTGTTGAAGGCATGCATTGTTTCATGTTTGGGATTGTTTAGTTATTAAACGTTGGAATAAAATTATCATCTTTTGCAATATAAGATAGTTTCTAATGTTTTTGAGTTATGAATTTTTTGGTGTTATAAGCGTATAATAATTATTCATAGATAGGAGACAAAGTCACAAAGCTACAAGAATCAAAGATAAGACGTGCATGCAAAGAATTTCCCTTCTCATATGTATTAATAAAAGCAAAGACAAATCTATTAAACATGTGGGACTATTTTTAATTTGGAGCGACGATAACCAACTTGCAAATGTTGAATACAAAAAAGTGTTACAAAGCATTTAAGCTTTGTTTATTTTTTTCATTCCATCCAAGTTATTCTTATATTTAATTATATTATAGCAAAAAAATTTCCCAATTAGAATCTATATGGTGTCTCAAATATATAAAATATTTATTTTAATAAATTTTCATAATTATTAATTTTTAAATAAATCATTGGCCGTGCATCTACGGTCCTTGCTATACAATACCTTATTTTGGGCAATTTTAATAAAATTTGTTATCTTTTGATTTTTGTATCGTTTTATGTTATTCCAAACCAAGACTAAATATAAGTAATTTTACAATCCGTGCATCGCACGGGTACGAGTCTAGTTTGACTACAAAAAATAAAAAATGAAAAAGAGAGGGAGAGAGTAGTCGTATTTACTACTTGGTCCGTCCCTGAGTGTTTGTCCACTTTTGACTTTTGGAATTGTTCATCTAATTACTTTGACTCATCAAATTCTCTCAGTGTGTAAGCTTAAAAATAGTCATGTGTGATCTTGTTTGATTCGTCTTAACATATAGATTATTAATATATAATTTTTTATAATTTTTTAATATACAAATTACAAGATAAAATGGATTAAAGAAGTGCATTGGGTGATATGGAAAAATAAAAGTGGACAAACACTCGGGGACGGTGGAGGGAGTAGTCAAAGTCCCCAATATAAAAAAGTAATTATCTACGTAGCAATAATGTACATACCCAGTAAGCGGCGGTGATTCCGGCGATACCGGAAGAGAGATGGATGACATAGCCGCCGGAGTAGTCCATGACACCCCAGTGGAATAGAAAACCGCCGCCCCAGAGGCTGAACGCCCCCACCGTGTAGGAGAAAGTCAGCCACAGCGGCACGAACATCATCCACGCCCTGAAGTTCATCCTCCCCAGCAGCGACCCCGCCACCAGCACCGGCGCGATCGCCGCGAACACCCCTTGGAACCACACCTAACCATTACCCACGGCGGAGCAAGCCACCGCACGTAAGAATAATAGTTTACAATAATAACCAATCCAATCAATGATCGATAAATTTATTAAAGTGAAATTATATTGCTTACCATGGAAGCCATGGGGTAGAGCGGAGTGGACTCGCCGGTCTCCACCGTGCCATCGGAGAAGCGGTGGACGGTGGCGGGGAGCGCGGCCTGCTGGAGGAGGAACTTCTGGCCGAGGGCGGGACCCGCCCGGCCCCAGAAAGGGAGGAGTTTGTGGCCGAAGGACATCTTGTAGGCCCAGGTGACCCAGCAGATGACGACGGCGGCGAAGGCGTAGAGGGCCATGAAGGCGGAGTTGACGGCCCATTTCTTCTTGACGATGCTGCCGTAGAGGATGACGAGGCCCGGGACGCTCTGCAGGCCCACTAAGGTTGCGGAGATCATCTGCCATGCGTTGTCCCCTTTGTTCAGCCACTGCGGCGCCGTCGAGGTGTTGTTCTGGTACGCCAGTGGCACCACCGTCGCCGCCGCCGCCATTCTCCTGTACTAATAATCAAAACGCAAATACTGAGTTTTCTTTCCCTCTTTGGAGAGTGGGCGACTTTTATGTATGTGATGTAGCGGAATTTTGGGCGTGAGACTTGGGTAAATGTTGGTCAAATATTGTTAATTAAAGGTTACATATACCTACCTACTTATTTCCTTTGAATAATCAACTTCCCGGTCATTATATATTCTATCCCTTCCTAAAAAAGATTGCCACACTTTCATACTCTTTCCGTCCAGCAAAACATTAATCATTTTGATGTATTTTTGGTCAATCAATTACATGCTTTGAACATAAATTAAATATAATCTAAATGAAGAAATGTTACAAAAATTTGATACATCAAAACTAGATCCTAAGATTAATCCAATTATATTAAATTTATATTACAATTCGATATATTTTTCTCGCAATTTGTAGTCAAAGAGTGTAACTGTTTCACCAAATACTATTCATAATGGGTAATATTTTTTGGGACGGAGGGGGTATTTTTAGTCAAATTGAAACAGCTTTTAACCACGAATATATTAAATATAATAGAAATCACCTTAAATAAGACTAAAACATAGGGAAAAGTACCAAAATAGGACTTTTATGTTTTTTCCCCTGAAATAGGACTTCACATTGTGGTAATGTGGTTGTAATGTGACACTATACATGTACACAATACTATAGTTTTTGGTAATGTACATGACCATGTTTAGTAATGTAAATGCATTTTAAATCCTATTTCGAGAATAAAAACATGAAAGTTCTATTTTGGTATATTTATAATGTTTTAGTCATACTTTGGTCTTTCTCCTAAAATATAATCTAAAATAATACTCCCTCCGTCCCTGAGTGTTTGTCCACTTTCATTTTTGCACACCATCTAATGTACTTCTTTAATCCATTTTATCTTGTAATTTGTATATTAAAAAATTATAAAAATTATATATTAATAATCTATAGGTTAAGACGAATCAAACAAGATTACGCATGACTATTTTTAGGCTTACACATTGAGAGAATTTGATGAGTCAAAGTGCTTAGATGAACAGTTTCAAAAGTCAAAAGTGGACAAACACTCAGGGACGGACCAAGTAAAATATTATAAAAACTTGATATATTAAAACTATATTTTAAAATAAACACAATTTTACTAAATTTACATTATAACTAAATATACTTTTTTCATAATTTGTAGTAAAAAAGTGGTATAATATGATTTAAAAAGTCAAAATACGACGACTTCTTAGAAACCAAGGGAGTATTTCCCACTATATACACATAAAGATGCATATATAAACCCCAACTACTAACCCCATTATGTACCATCTTCTTAGTTTGACTAAAAAAGGAAAATCGAATTTTACCTTTGATAGAGAGAAAAAAGTACCCCAGTACTTGACTTAATTAAAAATGTGGTGATCTAGAAGGATAGTAGGAGGGAGGTAAGTTGACGAGCATCTAATAGGCGGGTTTTTTTCATGGTATCCCATCTTTGCACATTGTAACAAAAATGTATCACATTTTCAACTTGTAATGAAAAGGTAATTCATCTTTAAAAAATGTAACAAAAAGATACCTCTTACCGGAATCTCAAGAATCCGGCCGGCGAGCATAAATGTGGCTTTCTGATGTATATGTCACAATGTTCTATATGACGTCCAAATTGACTCGTAATTTATCTAATATTTGATTAACTTTGTATTTAACACATAAGTCAATTTTTTTCTTGTAATGAAAATACGAAGGATATTTTATGGAGAATATTTTAATTTTATTTTTAAATCATGCTTTCTATAAGATTTTACTTTTAATTTTAGCATTTTGAAAAAAATTATAATTTATAAGATACTTCATATTTTAAACACAAGTAGCAATAACATTTTGATAATTGTCTATAATATATTTTTAAAGATTTATTAGAAATTTTCTAAAATTTAAATTCTAAAAAAATACGTATTATTGTTATTACTACTACTACTACTACTACGATCATCATCATTATCGAGTATTATTGATATGTGTAATGAGTTTTAATAGGTTATCTACCATTGGATGTGTGGACAAAGCCTGAGCCAGTGTGTGTAATGGGCAAAGATTGACCATACCGTACAGTAATAGTATCAGTACCAGTATATGGATGAGGAGATTGAAGCTATGAATAGTCGGACGTAAAATGAGTGTTGGCACCGGTGTCCAGATACAAATCTTCAGATCGATTGCTTGTAGACGCATGCATCGCACGAGGTCCACTGGTAGAAGAGCTCGTAGTATAAGATTCATCAAAACGGTACCAGCATGTTGTGACCAAATGTCCGTGCTTATCACAAATCTGACACGTAGGAACATCCCGTGACGGTCGGCCGTTTGCGGAGGGCGGTCGACCGTTGTTTCTACCGCCACAAGAATTGTTGTAGCTGCGTCTAAAGGACGGTCGACCGCGGTAGCCTCCTCGACCGCCTGTAGCAAGAAGGGCATTATGCGGCCCTTGAGAGGAAGCTAGATTCAGTTTTTACTCCATCTCAATGTAAATTTTCTCTTTTAAGCCATCTAGAAAGCTGATTGAGAGTGATGTCGCTATCACAGATGAATATTTTGTTTGAATGAAGAATATTCTGTAGCAAGACCACGAATAACAACATTGACGACATCTCGTTCAAAAATATGCTCACGTAAAGCATCAAGATCAGCAAGGATTATTTCGACTTTATCAAGGTATTAAGATATGGATTTAGCACCTTTGTGCAAAGTATGTAGCTTATCGCGAAGTTGATAAATATGGGCTATTGAAACAGAGTTATACCTTTTTGCTAATGCTTTCCACAGGGAAACAGAAGTAGTGAAGCCATGAGCATGTTTATGGACGGTAGGAATGCTGACGGCGAGAAGACAGGCCCGAATATGAGTATCAATGACCGTCCATGAGGTGAGATAAGGATTCGAGGTAACAGCTCCATCTTTAAGGATCGTTTTAAATGAAATTCTTATAGATCCATCCATCCAACCAAGAAGAAGATTCGCTTCAAGCGCGATTTGAACATTTCGCAACCATGCAAGGTAGTTTGTATCCGTGAGTTTTTTAGGGATGATATTGTGAAGATTTCAGAGTAAAAATTTTACTCATGATGGGTTTGTTGCCGCCATGGGTACGACGGTACGGTGGACCGACCGGAGGAAGTGGATCGACAGGACTACCAAAAAAAGTTCGGGTTTTAGAGATTTTTGCTCTGATACCATGATACAATTTGAGAATAACTGATCTTATTGAATATTGAAGGCTACATCCGTATTTATAGAGATTACATGAGACTATGAGAGAGTTCCCATCAAAGTAGGAAAAGAAAATATAGTAACAATTTAATAAAAAAATAGAGGCATTAGGAGAGGAATTAATTAATAATATTTATTTCCTAATACAACTTTATGTTTTTTTATTTTTAAAATGAAAAATATAATTACGAAGTTAGATTTTTAGAGTTCAGATCAACGAATGAAATGAAATTTCTATTTTTAAACGTGGATATATATATATATATATATATATATATATATATATATATATATATATATATATAGATTTTGGTTCTGGTGAGAATGCGATCTTAGGAGAGAAATGAGAATGAATCTGGTGCTTTAGATTGTGAGATCTAAGGGTCAGGATTGCATCAAAATTAGATGCACCAAAATGGTTTAAAAATGCATCACGTCAAAATGCATCAAAATCCTTCGAAAATGCACTATCTGGAAATCTGAGCGCAGGATGCAATCTGAGCTGCACGATGCATCAGATCCAACGGCTAGATTTTATTCTCATTTCTCTCCACAAGGTGCATTCTCACAGGAACCGGCCCCTATATATATATATATATATATATATATATATATATATATATATATATATATATATATATATATATATATAACCTCAAGAACTATATATAACAAACTAATTACATTTTGAAAATCTAAAAAAATAATTGTTGTCTATTATTCGCTAGAGGGATTGGAGTGTTGGACTCTGAGCTAAATGAAATTGAAGAGACTCGTAAATCGTGTATATTATTTAACTAACAAAGGATATTGGTGGATGACTCGAACTACGATCTGGCTTCTAATACATTTACAATTGCCAAAGTAAAATTTTAGTTTTGTATTTTTGGGAGGAAGGCAATCAAGTAATTGACTGATCTAAATTTGACCTATATTTTGATTAGGGGTGGGCATAAAATCCGTTCCCGTTGGACCGTTTCGAAAAATCCTGGATCCGTTTTGTAATTGTACCGATATATTGGGACACATTTTTTTATCCCGAACACATTCCGTCCCAATATCAAATGGGACATGAGCAGGACAACTTAAATTTATACCAATCCGTCTCGTTTGTCCCGTTTCATCTACTCTACTACTACCTCCGTCCCAGAGTATTTGTCCACTTTCATTTTTATACATCATCCAATACACTTCTTTAATCAATTTTATCTTGTAATTTGTATATTAAAAAATTATAGAATATATATTAATAAACTATATGTTAAGACAAATCAAACAAGATCACACATGACTATATTTAGGCTTACACATTGAGAGAATTTGATGAGTCAAAGTGCTTAGATGAACAGTTCCAAAAGTCAAAACTGGACGAATACTTCAGGACGGAGGGAGTAATATATAATATTAATTATAGTCCAATATCTAAATATACTCATTCTTTAATTAATTAGTTATTTAATTAAGTTAACTTCATAGGTTTGAAATTGATTTGGACCCGTTCCACTCATTGTTTTTTGTTGAATGGCTAGATGTTTCTTTTTTTGAATGAAATGTCACCCTCTCCCTCCGCTTATATTTGCGATTAGGACAAAGTAGGACGGTCCGAATGCGTCCCGGTTTATTCCGATCCCGAATTTTATGGGACAAATTTGGATAAGATTGTAATCTGAACTATTCCGGACCGTTTATATGTAATGGGACAAGACATGGGACATCTTCCTTCCAACAATCAACAATCAAATTTTTTGATTGTTGGAGTCAGTGGAAAAGAATTTTTATGATTTAATACATATAAAATTTTTTATTTATATTTAGAATAAAAAATGCGTGGATTACATTTGTCACATGAAAAATTCATATTTAGAAGAATAATACGCATATTATATGTACGAGTGTGTAAGGCGTATATTATAACGGCAATGATGACCATCGTCGAATCTCATACGTGGTGAACTACAGAGGCTAGTTGGTCAGAAGGATGTTGGACCCATCTGGGGTTCTTGTTGCCACAAGTCATGGTCGTTTAACTTTCAGGAATATAGTGTCATTGAATGACGACAATATTCTTAGCACCTGCATTTGGCCACTTTTACTTTATTGCTGGTAAGACTTCATTTTTGTAACATGTCCTTATACCCTTGTTGGGCAACACAGTTATGAGTTCAACCTCTAATACCCCTACCTCTTTGTTTTTGCTTCTTCGCTTGGCTGGGATGGTTTTGGTAAATAAGAAAAATACTTATTTTACCATCCCAAATGATATCTCCTTTTTAGACAGAATATGTCTACTAACTGTTGAAATTTTCTGGCACCAAGTATGAATTTAATTGGTCATCCTTGGCGAGACCAACGTTTGATATATTACACACCAAAAACTGACAAGGATGAATGAAAATTTGATTTTCAATGTTGACCTGGCATGTAAAAGAATTGGTTGAGCTTATGCACATCCCATGAATGTTTCAATATAAACTTGTTCTCCAGTCAATGTTGTTATTCTTTTTTACATCAATATTTTAAAATGCCGGATTAGTAAACATCTAAAGGAGCATATTACCCCTCAAAAAAAAAGTTTTTCTCCAAGATGCTATTGCAAAAAAAAAACGAACATATTTCTCGTCAAAATGCTCATTACCAATTTGCATTATATGTAAAGTGGCAAATAAGGTTCTTGGTTAAGCAGGCAAACTTAAAATTTACATGAATTTCTTTCCTGACCTAATATGATGTAAATGCTGAATAAATAAGGACGCCTGTGGCTGAAACAAGATTTTATAGCATCTTCCTGTCTAAATTCAAATAAAACCCAGCAGAGTTGTGGACATGCCTATTTAGTATAAACAACATGTCCGTATTATTTGTATTCTTCAAGAACTCACTAACCTGTACCACATATCCAAACTCTCGCCCATAAAGATGACACGAGGCTGCTGCCTTGTAAGTGAGGAGCTCCAGGTCGCCTGGTACAGATAAAAAAAAGTACTCAAAATCAAATGGTAATCTGAAGTGTCTGGAACTCCGAGTTAACCTTGCTACATTTCATAGCATATATATTGCGAATGGGAAACTTTAAAGCAACACTGTTTGGTTTGGTACACAAGAAATTTTATGAAAAAGGCTTTTCCCAAAGAAAACCAAATTTTCCATAGCATTTTCTAGTGTCAAATGGTTTTTTTGCACAAAAAAGACAAACACGGAGTAAAATAAATAAAATAATCTCAAGTGTCTATGATCACCGAAAATTCAACGTTACATGCCTACGAAAGAGTTTTGGAGAGCATCTTCCTTCCAAGTAGGAAGAAAATTGATATCTCGGGTCTCAACACAAGAACAGATTTTCTTACTCTGAATAAAAACATATTTTTCAAAAGAAGAAAAAATTCCCTCTGTATACCAAACACAGGAAAATGAGTTCAGAGGGAAATCACAGTTTGTGTGCCAATATGACTGCTAGAGAAATGGTAGGATTTGCGCCTTAATAAGCCAAAAATGTCAGTCAGAACATAGAATGATACCTGAAGCAATATCAGACACAAGTATGCTCTTGCTGAAGTGGCGTGTAAGCCACCATCTGCAACGAAGCCTCCATGATTCTCCTGATCCAGGTGCAATGAAAATTTCTGGGACACGACTACTAACGAACTCAGATGGTTGTTGCTTCGGTCCATCATCATCATCAGCGCAGACAGATACACAGTCTCCTTCAATTTGAGAAAGCTTCAGCAAGAGAGACGCAAACTCCCTCCATATGTTGCACTTAGCACAAGTAGCATCTAAGTTTGAGGCTATCTTTTCCACCAATTTTTCAGTGCTATAGTCCCCTGAAGTGAAAGTACAATACTCAATTCCAAATTAATCTTGGAGAATTGAAAGAGTTAAAAAAAATGGAAATCACTCCAATGCATTATCTCTTGCATGCATCACATCGTCTCAGAAAACAGTACATTACAAAAAAAATAATGGAAAAATTGTGCAGATCATGCGTAAGAGCACATGGGCAAAAGGGGTGCATAGTTTTGAATTGAGGGTTTACCTTTTTGATACAAGCAAACGAGCCTTCCCAATGAATACTCACATGTGGGATCTTTTTGCAATATGTCCTCAAAGCATGTAGCAAGTTTGGCGTAGTTGTTTCTATCAAAATGTTCCAATAGTTGAGCCTTCAGTCTGCACCAAAAAAAAAAAACTAATAACTTGACAACAAAAAAGTACACATATGCTTAAAATACTCATGAAGCTGACAATGTTTATTGTACCAGAAAATTAAAATCTACAATGTAAATGGGGCAGGGATCTTTACAACCATGAGATGTCAGTGTGTTCCTGTCTGGCTTGGATTGAACGCAAGAAGCAGATTTGACATAATGGGATTTTTAGAGTGCATTAGATTATACTTCCTCCGTTTCAATAAACCCTTCCTCTTTCATTTTTTTTCATTTCCCCAAAACACTTTTGCTTTCTATTAAAAAACCACTTTTACCCCTACTTTTTCATACCCTACCTATCACATCATACTTTTTCACTAATAGTCTAACTATCGTATCCTACTTTTACCCATCACATCAAGGGAAAAATTGAAAAGTCAACCATAAAAATACTTTCCTTATTTTGTCTAAAAGTCAAAAGGGGAAGGGTTTATTGAAACGGAGGGAGTATTACTTTGCAAATATGGCTGCATTTCGGAACTTTCTAAAAGGAACCCTGTTTGGTAACATCTTTCATCCAAATACATTAAAAGCTACTAATTGTGGATTATTTTGATGAATTGACAACCAGAATACCAACCAAATCCTTAACCTATCAATGTCAACCAACTCTAACACTCCACCTACAACATTTTTACTTCCCACTGCCCTCAAGTTTGAAGTGGCATTGTAAAGAATGAAATGTGATGAAAATGTTAAATTCAAACACTACTCTTGTACTTGTATATGTAAGACAATGGTTAAGCTAGTGTATGAAATACCGAGAGTGCAGCAAGGGTACCGAATAAAAATAATTCACACAAACAGAACGAATCAATCAAGCAATGTATTATGATGATACTGTAATTCAGAACAAAGATGACACAGTGCTACAACACCTTCATAGTAATGCACACTCATATATAAACAAAAGCGGTAAGCAGTGCACAGAGAATTATTTACGCAGTTCAAAGAAAACCTACTACTTCGCGGGGCTAAGCCCACGTCTGTGTAAAAGCCCTCCAATAAACTTTTGAAAAGATTGCACTAGTTAATTACAAAAGAACGCCTCTTCTAAAGCTTCTGACTCAAACTCTGTCTGAGCTCTTTTCATGGCTTGCTACACTTCTTCATGATCTTCTCCACGTGCTTGCAACCCTATTCTAGATCAGCAGTGTACTAAACTTTAGGAAAGCTTCATATCATAGATCGCACGTGTACTAACATCTACTTCTTATCACACCAAGTAGGTTCATCTTTGACTCAAAATCTTTAATATCAATGTTTCTTTGAGGAAGGATGTTTTTCTTTGAAACAAATGGCATAAAATCTGATGCACTAGAGGATATGAAGTAAGTACGAGAGGACTTCCCTGAACTGTTGGCAGATTTAATTAGAGCCTTCTTCCTAACAATTGGTGAAGTGGTGGTTGCAGCACTAGAGCATTTCTTGGACTTCTGCTGAGATGGTGCAGAGGATGCTTAAGCGTCTTTCAAAGGAAACTTTTGTTTGGATTTCCTTTAAAGAAACAGTTTTTTTGTAAGGCAGGGACCTCTTCTTTATATCTCTTTTCTTCTCCGCTTGTACTGAGGAAGGAGCTTCTAGCCCTTTGACAACTTCATCCTCAGCAGCAGCTGATTTGATTTCCTCTGTAGCAACACTGCAACAAAAGTAACACCAATTTTCTCTACCACTTTCTCTTATTCAAAAGGTGTTGCATCAATTCGATCATCAGAAGGTCCTTATCTGTCATGTTCAAGATTTACTTCAACATTCTTTTCTAGATCTTGAGTTGAAGGTGCCTCAAATTCATGCATTGCTGAATTTAGAGTTTTAAGAATGATTTCTTCTTCAGTGGGAATAGAACGCAAATCACAGATGATATCTTCCTCCTGTTCTTTAGCAAGATTTTGACAATATTGAAATTGTGTACTCCAGATATAATAATTCTGGTGTGCTTCTCCATGAGACAGCCAAGACATCATCCTCAGAAATTTCTTCAATTCTAAAACAGATTAAGCAGATAGAGGGTCCATAATATGAGGCTTTGACTGTGATTGAACACATTGGGGTGCAATGGTGGTGCGTCTCTTCCCAATAGTTCTGCCTCGTCCTCTATAGTACACGACTCCACTGGTGTAAACCATTTTTTGAGAGAATAAAGGATATGAAGCTTTGGTGGAAAGAAGTGGATAGGATTTGTGGAAGATGGAAAAATGGTCTCCTCAAATTTCAGGTGAAACACCGCTTGTCAAAAGGTGAAACAAGCAAATGGGAAGGTGTTGTAACAACTCCAAGTGTCAGCATAGGGTAATTCTTCTACTTCCAGCAGGAAACAAAGGGTTGGACACTTTAGCTGGCAATCCGCATCCTCAAAAAACTTTCTCCATAAATCAGTGCACCCGCAGCTAATTCATGAATTATCAATGTGCTTTGTCTGTGAGTGCAACACTAGATTTTAAGAAATATTAATAGCACTAGTATTCTCCCAAAATAATGGAATAGTATCATGCTTATCTCCAAAACCTGCTAACAAAGATTTCATCCATAAAGACCATAATAGTTGCGCACAACAGCTCCCCGCTGCTATGCATTCAGCCTCTTCTGTAGAGAGAGAAGCTGAGTTTTGTTTCTTACTCATCGAAGCAACGAGATTTCCACCAAGAAAGAGACAACCTCCAGAAGTGCTTTTTTCATCATCAATATTTCCAGCCTTGTCTGCATCACTTCATGCCATAAAATCTGCTTCACACCTTTAGAGTACCAGAAATCTATGTTTTGAGTCCCTTTGATATATTTCATGATACTCCTCACAGCTTTCAAATGAGACTCTTTTGGTTTTCTTTCACATCTGGCACACACCACCACACTCCCCCACACTGTAGCATATATTTGGCCTGCTTGCTACTCCTTATAAGATAAATAGACTATGAATAATACCCCTGATTTTCTCATGTGTAAGACAGGGTGTTCTAGCACTCTTACCGTCATTCATATCAAACTTCTTTAACAAATTTTGAGCATTTTTTGTTTGAGAAAGAAAATTTTGATTTAAAATCAAATAAAGAAAGTGAGTTCACGAATCATACTCATATCAAACTCGTTCTCCATAGCTTTCACAAACTTATCAATCTCGTCAAAATGGAGTCAGTAAAGAGTAATACTCCCTCCGTCCCACTATTTTTGTACAATCTATGTTTGTCATATTTGCATCATTATGTGGTCAAAAATGGAGTCAGTACAAGAGTAATACTCCCTCCCTCCGTCCTTTATTTTATTCAATTTTACATTTATAATGTAAATCATGCAATTCCACATTTTATTAATTTGTGTGCCAACATCCCATGTCCCAAACTTAGTGGGTAGAGGGATTAACTATTTGAAACCTTAGACAATTGAAGAGATCTTAACTTTCATGCCTAACAAATAAGTCAAAGACTATACCCAAGAAATTCATCAACACACACTTAGGATATAAAGTGAAGCTGTGACCCTGGTGGAAATGGCATTTGCACTGTACAACCCTATGCTTATCTAGTTATGTGAAGTTTCCACATTACAACACCCATCTTGAGGTACATTCAAAAAGCTTTTAAAATTTTGACACAGCTGATATCAGAAGTAGCTCCATAACATTTCCATGAAACTTTTGGATTAGATTTAAATTATGCTGAATGCACACTTAAAAAGTTATGCATCACATTAGAGAGGTGCTTAAGAAGTTAACTAATAGACTAAAATACTGAATTAGAAAGGGCAATACGCAGATAGGGTGACAAGCAATGAAAGGTGTAAATCTGGGAGCTGGACAGGAAGCTAGAATCACGCCTTACTTTGAACCAGTGTTCTAAATGAATAAAATTGAAATCCTCTAGTAACCTTCTCAACCTTATGTTGTCAACCATAGTACACCTATATAGCTACACTACATTTTCCTCTCAGCTATTGCATAATACCGACAGGGCGACAGGTGACAGCAATCATGAAGAAAAGTCATTAGCTTATAAAAATAAGGAAATTTGGTATTATTACCTCAAATGGAGAGGTGTACTAGAGTCTGGAGAAATTTTATCAACCATGGCAAGGGCTTCTTTAACTTTATCTCCAAGAAGCAGCAACTAAAAATAAAACAAATCAATAATCATTATGCTGAACTGCAACAATAACCATGTGTTGGTCCATAAACATCTCCAGTTCTGTTTACGTCACATATTCAGATTGTAATGTAGTATTCTGCAAAAAGAATATAATGCTAGCATATGTATGAACAAAGCATAAAGACACAAAGTAATGTCTCTAGGTCAACAAAACCGTGTTGGGAGAGAACCACCACCTTACATGGCAGCAGAAGCAATAGAGGGAAAACCAAAAGACAAAGAAAGGAAAACAATTACACCTGTCAGTATTATCATGAACATACTTCCCCCGTCCCAAAAATTCTGGCACACTTTGAACAATATGCCGAATCCCATCGTTTTGAAAATGCTTTTTTTACAAATAGATATAGAAATAAAAAGTGCAAAACACCAAAAGTTAAAAAAACAATACATGACAAGAATATTTCATTTTATCAAATGGTCAATGAAAATCTGTGAACAAAGTAAAGTTATCGAGAGCCCAAAATAGTAAGTAGGACAAGATTATGGGATGGAAAGAGTAGTGAATAAGGCGTCGCCTAGGCGTTAAGGCACTCTCCCATGGATGTCATGCCAAACACCTCGGCAAAATAACCGCAAGGCGATAAGGCGCTTGCCAAATCGTCATCTAACGACAAGACACCCAAAATCATTTTTTCGTGTTCCATTTTAAGGTTTATGGATTTTCTTTGAGGGGTGCAGAATTTCTCTTAAGTTTGAGATCGGAAAACTGTCCTAGCAATCTCAAATTTTTGTGTTTCTTTTTCGCCGGTTTACATTTGTGATAGGGAGCATTTTGTGTTGCTTTTAGGCTACTCCGATATCGTAGAAAAGGAGAAAGATTTCTCAGTTTTCGTTCAAGGTATCAAGGCGAAGACAAGGTGGTTGTTAAAATGCCCTTGTCAAGAAACCAACTCAACCAAAAGCTCAAGCTTGTGGTTGTGGCCCAGGAATGATTGTTATATACTCTAACACGCCCCCTCACGTTCAGGCGTGACCTCTTTGAGCCTTGCACATGAAACCTTATTTTTTTTTAAATTGGATGGCGGTGAGTTTCGAACTCGTGACCTCTTGGTCATCAAGGCTCTGATACCATGTCAAGAAACCAACTCAACCAAAAGCTCAAGCTAGTGGTTGTGGCCCAGGAATGATTGTTATATACTCTAACAGCCCTAAAGAATCAAACACGAGGAATTGATGGTTCCTACCCTTCATAACCCCATCCCTAAACCCCCCACCGCACCCCACCCATGTGCCCCCACCCAAGACCCCCCTTTTACCCCCTCCAAATGTGTGGCTATTATGCAATGCATAATAACCACACATTTGGAGGGGGTAAAAGATGGGTCTTGGGTGGGGGCGCAGGGGTGCTGGTGCAGTAGTGGGTTTAGGGAGGGGGTTAGAGGGGTATGAACCATCAATTTTGCAAACAGAGCATTGGAGGAGCTCCAAATGAGCGAGTGTCATCTGTTGACACTGGATGCCAGTGACAACGGAATCTTGCCCATCTTAATATGTATACTTATAAAACCAATCTCTTGTTTATTCCTTTATGTGTTCTAATGTTCAAAAACTATTCATTTCCTTAAGAATTTGTTACTATTATTGAACCAGTCTTTTTGCTGCTTCTCTATGTATTATTATATTTACAATTTATGCATCCTCATACTTAAGGTAATGCATTGTTAGTTCACATGGTTGCTAAGAAGAAAATGTGAGGCTTTGATTCTATTACTGTCAATTTTTATAATGATTTAACACACTGAATTAGGCCTACCGCATTTTCATGTACTTTTTTTGTCAATTAAAATGCTCAAATTCTCTCTACACATGCATGTTTTGATTGAGTTTAAATATTGAGATGTTAGTTTTACCTTTTGCTAATTGCACTTCCATGTTTCCCCTATCGCAAATTTAGGCTGGTTGATCTAATTTATGTATAAGCTACTGCATGTCTGCATTTTTTTGCCTATACAAAAACAAAGTTTTCTTACTACATCTTTGTGTCTAAAAGAAAAAATTGGCTTGCTATATTCTTTTCCTGCTTTCCATTCTAATTTTACTCTTAAATTGGAATTACATGAGGATATGTTTTTCTGGTTTTTTCATAACATGCTCAACTTTAAAAAATCTCAGAGTATTTAATACAAGTGGTGATAGTAGAAATTATCATGATAGTATTTTGTAAAACCTATAATGAAATAGGGTTTCATGATAGTAGAAATTATCTTCCAAGTAATGTTTTGTAGCTTGATGTTATTTAAACTAACTAGCAATTGTTCGAGTAAGTTTTTTAACCTGTTAAGTTTGATGTGTTATATGTGTAAAAACACGTGATATATTAATGCATTAAAAGATCAAACAAACATGACTTTTAAACTACTCAAAATGACTTAGAATAAAAATTTAATATTAAAACTACCATCCAAAGTTCATTCTTTTCAATTAAAAAAAAGCATCCTCTAAACCAATGTTATAGATACAACAATCTTTGGTTAATTTACGACGAGCCTGGTGCATATGGACAAAAACAATTATTACTTAACACAAACTTCTTATGTGTGTGTGCATAATTTACAATATGTATTGCAGCTATATATGAGAATAGTGCATACAGATTAAATAACTACCACATGAGAAAACTTTATTGACTCGTTCTAAATGACTAGAACTAGTCAATTGCATCACAATTGCATGATTAATAAGAAAGAAAGTGTTGCAAAATAAAAAGTGATTTAACAACATTTAGAAGAATGAAAAAACTGTTGACAATATATTATTTTCTTTCAAAAAAATAACAATCCACATTTTCAATTCTAGAATTTGTCTTATTACATTCCAATTGCTTATGCTTTTTTACAAATCCATGTTCGAATTTCAAATCACAAGCATAACCACACAAAATCTTAGATCCTATTACGAGATGCAAAATTAGTTATGCTTTTTTGTAGATACGAAGTATAATATAAAAAATCTGTTACATTACAAACTAATTTCAGACTCCAACACGCGTCCCATTTTGCATTACCCCGATGTAGGTCATACCTTAGTATACGATACTTGAACTTACTACCATTGGAGTGAAAATTATCATTTATACAATTTAAAAAAAATGTAAATAAATGAATCTGTTACACTATGAAATATGCATTAAGATAAAGCAAGTGATCAATATCTTATACAAAGAGTGCAATAGTAAAAATTACTCTATATTCATTATTGATTTTTATTAAAGAAAAACGGAAGACAAAAAAAGGAAAAAAAAGGAAAGCCTTACCATAACTATTATTAATGTACAAAAAATTATTTTGGGTGGAAAAAATACTCTCTCCGTCTCTAATAGATTGTCACAATTTGATATTTTTTTATCAAGCGATGTAGCACTTTACGAGAGAATGAATATTTGGTAATAATGTAGATTTAGTAGAATTGGTTCATTGGTTCATTTTAAAATATGAACCAATATTACTAAATTTACATTATTACTAAATATTGATTTTCCATAATTTGTGGTAAAGTACTACATAATTTGTGGTAAAGTGCTACATCGCTTGATAAAAAAATACTCCCTCCGTCCGGTTTATATGTTCCCAGTTTGACTTTTGGTAATTTTTAGTGAGTGTTGACTAAGCCTATAAAATGACTAGAATGCCCTTACTAAGGAGATACGAAACACCTGCAACAACATGGAGTCTGCTGTACGGAACCCCTGTTTTTGCCAGCGCCCTCCCTTCCTTGTCCACCACCACAAAGCATGGAACATACTTTATGTCATAATGCTGAAGCTATGGCGGATGAGGAGGAGGGAGGAGGATTCAGAGTTTTAATAACACAGCAAGACAAAAAAAAGCTGGGAATGAGGGAATGCGCGTACCTCAGGCAACCACCGGTCGTCCTCGGCGTCGGCGAACGCGATGTTGAGCCAATCGGCGTTCCGTTTCTGGACTTCGGCCACGAATTTGGACAGGGAGTTGCAGAGTTGGCACTTGCGGGAGTAGAATTCCAGCACTGTCGCGGCTTTGTCGCTCGCCAGCGCCGCCGCAAACGCGCCCTGCTCTGCCGCGGATTGTTCCTCCGGACTCGGATTTCTTCCTCATCATCCCTCCGAGCGGAGTCTCTGGATCTCGGCGCGCTGTTGATGAAATTGACGGCCAGAGAGGCCAGATTCTGGAACGGTTTGAACGGCCAGAGAGATCTAGGGCTCAGAGAAAGAATTGGGCGGAATGGTTCTGGGAAGGAGAGGAGGTGCGAGTAGGAAGATTGGGTGAGAAGGGCGATTTAATGAGAGGGGTAGTTTAGGAAAAGTGGGTTAGAAAACGTATACTGGGAACTTCATTTCCGGACGGAGAAAAGAGTAGAGTGGGAACTTAAAATCCGGACGGAGGGAGTATCAAACTGTGAGATAAAGTTTTGTTGTTGTTTTTGTTGGTTCACTTTAAAACATAGTTTTGACATATGAAATTTTTATAACATTTAATTATTTAAAACTTTGTTCAATTTGTAGTCAACTTGTGTCATCGTTTGACCAAAAAATTAAACTGTGCTAATCTTTTTTAAGATGGGGCCTGGGGGGAGTATTATTTTAATAATTAAAAATAGATGCATTACCTAATGTATTGCACAATCATTACCTAATTAACTAATTACTTACTTTAAAGATATGTATATCCTTAATGTAGTCAATGACAATTAATGCTAAAAAAAGACTTGTTTCAAAAAAAAATACTGTGTATTTCCCTAATGCGTTCACTCACTACTTGTTTTAATGAATACTTACTTACTTTACAAATTTGCCCCTAGATCTCAATTTCTCCCTATTCTCACGCACAAGCTTTAGAATTTACCATAAATGCACTTATGCTATTTATAAAAACATATAAAATCACATACGTCCAGTGCAGAAGATCTAATGATTAGCATTCATCTTATTTCTTTCACTGTGAGTTATTCTTGTTGGAGTTGGGACTATATTGGAATCATATGGGACTACCATATATTGAGGTGAAGCAATATAGTATGGAGCTTCCATGGATTTCTAGGAGTACATTTAACTGCTTTCCCAATGACTTCTCTCTTCCTCTCTTCATCTTTATTACTATAAATGTGAAATGCATTTGGGTCAAAGTTGGATGGTAAACAAAAAACAAATATTAAAGGAGAACGGTAGTACAAGGTGGCAATCCGGTAAATTGGTTCGATTACGTACAAATTTGTTTTGTTTGGTTCTATCTTAGGTTTGTGTTATGACTTGTTCGTGTCATTTTGGTTCTATTCAGGTCTCTGTTTAATTTGGTTCTCGATATTTTTTCATTTTTTTGTTACGATTTGGTTTAACAACGGTTTAAATAGATAATCAATTTGGCTACAGGACAGTTCTATAAATATCAGTTCAGGTGTCTTATAATTCGGATATATTTTGTTTATTAATCACTTCTTATAATAACATACTCATGTCAAATCTTGTTTTATAATTCAATCAATTTTGAAATATATAAATATATTTTAAAATCATGTACCAATTTAAATAATATTAAATTCAATCAATCTTTGCAATATTTCAAACTTTAGTTATGGAACAATCAACAAATGGAGTAATCATGTAGGTCTTTGGAGCTCAAATTCATGAGAAGAGGTGGAGCACAAGTTAGTTAAGTTTTTTGGTGCAACAAGTCACTATTTAGGGTATTTCGTGCGGAAAATTTTACACGTACTGTATCTATTTTGACTTATTTTTCAAGTGTAATTTCTAAGGTATATCTATATTTTGTTGAACTAAAGTTGTAACTTTAAATTTCATTATTACTTATTATCAATGCTTTATACTCGTATCAAATTTCCTTTGATTTCGTTAATATGAATGCTTTGATTTGGAATTTACATTTTGCAAACTTTTGCCAAATGAGTCATGATAAGATTTAATTTCATATTTGATTGGTTATGGTCAATTTTGGGTCTAATCCGTTTTGGTCTAATATGTTTTGGGTTTAGTCGGTTTTGGGTCTAAGGAATCTAAGCGGTTTCAGGTTTGATCGATTTCAGGTCTATTCGGGTTTGAATACATTACCTTTGGTTCCTGTTTTATTCAGGTCATTTTGGGTTTTTAGTAATAGATAGGGTCTTTAGTTTTTGGGTAATTTTAGATCCGGTTTTGGGTTATTTAGTTCATGTAACCGATTGTACGTCTATTTTGCCAGGTCTAGTGGTATGGTGTGTGACAGGACATGAGCTAGAAAACTTTGACTACTTTTGAAGTGATTGACATTGACTCCTAACCAGAAAAAAGAAGTCAATAAATTACTAGGAGAGCCAAACATTCAGATGTCCAAACACTGACTAGATGAACACAACCAAAAGAGTAAATGTGAACTAAATGAGATCCAAGTCATAGAAGCAACACAGACAGTTTTGAGACTGAAATTCAACAACCTATCTTCTAAACAAAAGAAAAACACAGAAAATGGGTTAAAGATGGACCACCGCGATAAACATACCAGCAAAAAGGATATGGACTATGGAGAGTTACAGGTTACAGGTGATCACACAAGATTGATTTAGTTTTGGGACAGGTTGGAGTCGTGTGGAAGCTCTGATAACCGGAGTACATTGTTGGGCTTACTGGAAAGAGTAAAAGAGGTAGGGAGCCACCACGATGGTGAAAAAGTATGTGACTGTTCTAAATGTGTATGAGACTGCTCTTTCTAGCTCAACATGAAAAAATGGCTTCTTTCCTTCAAAAGGAAATGTAAGGTAAAGATTAAGGCTAGGCAGGTGGAGGGAGCTACCACTCACCATGGAAACAGAAGCAAAAACAGATGAAACCGGAAGAAGGAAAAGAAAATACCCTGATTTATATTATATATTCATATGATGAATAAAAGGAAGTCGAAAATTGAGACTCTAAGATCAAAAGTGCGAATATGAGCTAGTGTGTGTTCCAATAAATCTTATCCCAAAAAACAAATAATAAAGCCTCTTAATAATCATTATACTACGCTACAACAATAACCATGATGAAAAATCTCAAGATCAAATCAAGAAAACAAGAATAAGAAATATATATCTCACAATATGATGTGTATTCAGTAAATTTAAGATCCCCTGCCCTTAACAGAGAGGGCCTATTTATACATATCATGGACATACAAATTAGGTATGGACTCCTAACAGAAATCGGATATCACACCCCTTTTCTTGCACCCCACTCCTTATGTTTCCTATTACAATACAATCTTAAATCTAGAAGATTCTCACGGGCCCAAGCCCTTGTACTTCGCATCCCACCGAGCTTGGGCCGATCAGGCCCACTTCCTCAACTAAGCTCGTGGACCCGATCTGCATCACATGTGTTTGTCTAATTGTCTATAAACATTTCAAACTATTTTGTTTATTTCCTATGCTCTATTCAAAAGATGTAGTTTAGCACTGTAAATGTTTTTAGCCACTTATTTCAAGTATAAAACTATAAAGGTGAGGTCCATAAGGATAAAAGATAAGTAAACGAGGTCTTTCATAAAATCCCCAGCAAAAGTTGTGGACAATACCTGTATCAGAGGATGAAAAGCCTCGAGTACTGGTGGTGTTGAGGAGAGTGCGCAACTCAAAAACTTCACTGCACTGTTATATTGATCGCTGCGCAATTGCCTATGCATATCATATAATTCCTCTAAGTTGTCCAACTGAGGAAATTGTACAGGCAACAACAGCGTCGACAAACCTATGATTGAGAGAAACTATTAAAGCTCATCTTACTCCCTGTATGAATCCACTAGGGCTGTGCAAGTTACATTCCAAAACTGGACCAAGGTGTAATGGTGGACCGGACCAACCTAGATCAGTCCGGTCCTTGGCGCACCTTTAAGTCCAATTATGATCTTTCCAGACCAACAACGGTGGCCTTGAAGATATCGGAGACGTGCAGTGCGCCAGCCAGGGTCCCAATATTCTGGGGCCCCAAGGGATGATGTACATTGTAATCAACTATATTTATTCAATTGGTCAGAGTACCCCACATTCATTTCATATGTGTTGGCTATGCAATTTGTTGTAAAATAAATGTTTATTTCATTAAAATATCAAATTTTCTTTAGATGTGTGGCTTTTGATTGATTGCAAAAAATAGACTTAGTTCTGTATGATACTGTAAGATAGAGTGTGGGAAGGACCTGATTCTTATTTTATACCCGTGATTTAATGGTAACTTGAACTTCAAGCTTTAGAGGCCAAAGTTTGAAGGTATTTTGGGGAATTTAATAATGCATTCATTTATTTTGTATATTTTGAAGTTGCGATTTTTTAGTTGGAATTTGAACTTTTATTCTCTAAGCTAGTTAAAGTTGACCTTAGCTTTAGCATTATTAGACTCAATATGCAAAAAAATTAAGAGAATGTTTTTTTAAAAAGTTGGTCCATCGGTCTGATCTTTGTCCGAACACAAAACCTAGTCTGGTCGGGACCCAAGGCTTTCGGTCCGTGAATTTTGGAGTTTCGGCCCTCGGTATTTGGTCCAGTTGTGGACCGATGCACACCCCTAGGATCCATTATGTATTCCACATCCAAAAAAAACCAAACATAAGAACTAGCTAAGGGAAAGAGGCATCTCCAACGTGTAGAAAGTGCATTAAAGCATCAAAGCATATTCAAGGCTCTACAATGTTAGAACTCTATGGAATCATTCCACTAACCATGAGTGTAGAAAGTAGAGAGTGATGGTGGGGAACTGTTATTTGACTTCTCAAGTTCACTCCTCTCATCTGAGTGCAAAGAGACAATCAGTTCCTGGTTACCGGCATCTCGTTGAGGCTTATTTTCAACATCCATGAGATCTTTCCCAAATGGATCTACACCGGCTTCAATTTTTTCTTTACCGTTTTGAATAGATGTGTTGGATTCATGTTTTGTTAATGAATTGATTTCTTGACCTTCATATGCACCTTGACTCCTTGAATCCACAATGGACATGACCTCATTGACTTGAGATCTGTCTGGTTGTGTGTTGCATTCAATTTCCCTCTGCTCACCCAAGTGCATCTCTTGTGGAAGGTTAGAGTACCATAGCTCATAAAATGTCAGCCCAACAACTAAATTAGAAACTGGGTCTCCCTCAAAACCTCGTTCCTGCATTAGACTGATGACACCGTGACATTGATAATCCAAACCAACAATTCCACATAGTTCTCAACCACATTGAAAATCCCAACTTCATACATACCTACAAACATACATACATACATACATATATATACACACACACACACATACATACATACATATATATATATATATATAATATACACACACATATACACACACACACACATATATATCTGTGTGTGTGTGTACACACACACAAACATATATATAGGATATTTTTACACCATTTACTTGGATATACCATTTCCCTCAATAAGAGTGAAGTCAAATTGGGATTTTACTTTCAGGAGTTTATATGTATGTATGTTGTGTGGGTGCATACATACATACGTACATACGTACATGCAGGCATGCAGGCATGCAGGCATGCATGCATACATACATACATACATACACACACACACACATACATACACACACACACACACATACATACATACACACACACACACATACATACATACATACATACATATATATAAGTGTGTGTGTGTGTATCATTGTGAATAGTAAAGAATGGTATTGTGAATAGTTAAAAAATTCTAAGGGAGATACCTTAAAGAAGCCTGATGTGCCCCATCCATCTCCTTGCTTGTCAAACAGAAAAGTGTGTGTTCCAATTGAATAGCAAACTTGTTCTGTCAAAGAAAGTAATACCTATTTAGAATAGAGAATTTTTCTGCCAATAATCCAGTGGGCAATCTTCCAGAAATAATCCTAATTTTAGATGTTAAGAATAATCCGTAGTTTGCATAGGTCATCATGGAATGATCCGTCCTTTAAAGTTGTTGCCTTGTGTAAACTTTTTGAAAATTATGATCCAATGGGACCACTTGGACCCGAACCAAAATCCTGAAAAAATGTGTAGACTTAGGGCATAAAAAGTTGATCTTCAACAGGAATGGACAAAAAAATCTCGGCAATTTTTAATAATTTTTAAAATGACACATTTGGCAACTTGATGTACCAATTTGAAAATAAACAAAAATTAGCTGATATTATTTTGGCCCGATCCAGTTCATGATTAGAACTATTTACGTCAATTCTTCAGCCGGCACAGTTTTCGGGATTCTGGTCCTAGTCCAGAATGGTCCAGTAAAAAGAGAGTGGTTCAGTCAGACCAAAATTTTTTTTAAAAAAATCAAAACGTTAACATAGTTACCGCTATAGAATGCGGATCATTCATGGAATACTGATACAGACTTTGTATTATTCTTAACTTTCAAATTTGTGATAAGTTCTAAAAGACCGACAAAAATTGGAATTATTGGCCGCTAATTTACACTTTTAATTTTTTCTAGAAGACCGTCCAAACTTGGGATTATTCGCATTAAATTTTCTTTGAGATTAAAAGGAGTTATATGAACACTAAGTAAATTCTCTCCCATGTTGTGAGTTAGGGTAGAACATCGAGGACTATATGTCATCTTCTACCTTCATAGGCCATTTTATCATAGGTCCAAGCTTTGACATCCACATCCCATAGATATTCTGAATCCTTCTTGAGCTGATAGTGTCACCTTTTAAATGCTTGAGAATCTCCAAGGTAGCCTGCAAGGTTATTTTTGAATACATGCATTAGGCTAAAATGCAAGACGATTAAGAAGAGACTCTTCATAAGAGGCATGTAGAACTAAAATACATCAACTGCAAACTTAAAAATAAATAGAGAAAAGTTGCATACAATCTGAGTATGACTACAACATTGTTCTAGTTCGTACCGAGAACTTAGCTTGAGTCTTTGTAATAGCACATTCTTTGGAAGTCCCTCTATGAAGCAAACTCAAGACTCCACTTGCCTCGGTCCAGTTATGCCTCCGTAGCAACATCAGCAGTAGTTGCCGCAATTTCTTCCTGTGTACAGAGCGTAGACTGGTGAAGTCTCGTTGTAAGCTCCCTATACCACGCTTCAGGCAATAGGACGGCTTCGCCTTCGCCAGTATCACACCATTGATTCTCCTGACCTTTGCAGATAAACTGAGGGCGGAGTCGAAATCGTCATAAGGTCTCCTGCGAAGCCTACTTCGTTTTGGGGTCACAAATTCTACTATTGGTTCTTTGGCTTCCATTGAAATCAAACTTCTGTCCTTTCAGCAATCAAATTAAAATATATTACAACATGAACAACATTTGAAACGTCCATTTGGAAAGGGGGGAAATGAGGAAAATGACTTTCACAAAATGACTTTTGGAAAATAAGAAATATTCAAAAAGTCTTTTTTTTGCCGCACCAAATTGAAAAGGAGAAAGAACAAAGTGTATTTGGCATTCCTATGGGAAACAAAGTCAATTGAAGAAATCAAAATCAATTTCTTCAGAAACAGTACAAATGCATTAGCCCGGCAACCCACTGGATCAAGCCGGCGACCCAAAAACCAAAACCCCAAACACACCAGGCAGCTGCCCACCACCCGGCAGCCGGCCCCACTAGCCCAAACGGTCCCAAAACACACATCAAACATCCTCTAACCTTAACCTAGTCCAAACATATCCCTATTAGTTAATTACAACCCAATGCATCCAATTTAGCCCAAACATAACCAATCTGAACCCAATAGAATCCAATTGCATCCAATTAGAACCCAATTTAACTAATCTTCACCCCAATTAGAATCCGGGCAGACCCAATGAAATCCGGATGGACCCGATTGATTCCAATTAAAAACCCAATTGCCCAAATCAAACCCAATTCAACCCAATTGCGTCCAAATTGACCTAATTGGACCCAAATCAATTCAATTGAACAAAATTGGGTACAAACGGATCTGTACCCGCCACTGCCGCCCCCCTTCCGCCGGCGACCCGCCGGCTTCACGCCGGAAACCGGCTCAGTTCCAAGCACAAGTCCCAACAACCGTTAATTCAACAACCAATTCGTCTAATTTCACAAAAAGATTTATAGGAATAAGATTATAATCTACGAATTAATACTACCTATAGACATATGAACACGACTCGCCTTGATAAAGAAGTCGAACTCAGAAAATCAAAGGGGAAACCCGTCGCCGCAGTCCGCTGCTACCTGTGGGAAATCGAGGTTGGAGCTGGAAGATTTGGAGCAGAGGGAAGATTTGGAGCTGGAATTTCCTCAGAGAAAATCGGCTTTAGTAAAGCGGTTTTTTACAAAAAAAAAAAAAAAAAAAAAAAAAAAAAAAAAAAAAAAAAAAAAAAAAAATAGCTTTCACAAAGCCGTAATAAAAAACAAATTGGCTTTGTAAAAGCCGTTTTTTGTTTTAAAAAATTATAAAAAATGGCTTTCATAGAGCCGATTTTTACATTCCATAAAAAAATACACACTTACGTTTAAAAAAAAATTTTTGCCATTTCATAAACCATTTTTTAAAATAAAAAGAAATATTTTTTATGATTCAGTATATAATTTGTTTAAAAAAAATCAACCAATAAAAATTTAATAAAGAGATGTTCAACAAGAAAAAGTACGCAATATTGAAAACATAAATATATTAAAACATCAACAGAAAATTACATTCTCAACATCTGAAGTAAACAAGAATTACAATACCTCCCCTGATACAAACTAAAAAAAATATTAAACTAAAATCATCTTCTTGCCCTGAAATCCATCTCGCCCTGGTATCGGTTGCGTTGACGTCTCCCTGAACGTGGAATCTCATCTGTTGGCCGTTTGGGAGGTAGAACTTTAAAGCTGCCAACATCTAAATTTTGAGAGAAAAGAACATGTTGAATTATACCACTATAACAACTCAAATAGTTTTGAACCGAGTACCTAGCCGGTAATATGTTGTGAGGAACTTGTTGTCGAAAAGAGTGGTAAACAGCATGAACATGAACACAAGGTATACTATCGGAAGTCCACTGCCTACAAGTGCATACACTACTAAACAAATTGACCAAGTAGTTGTAAATGGAAGAAGGATCTGTTCGAGATGTGTGAGTCACTACGTATTGGTTGTTACCGTACCGTAGCTTGAGACTGTCCACTTGTGCTTAGTTTTCTCCCGATTAAGGAGAACATTTTTAATTTTCGGAGTAATGTGCATGCTCTATTCTTGCCACTGAATACCAAGCTTGTACCTTTTAGCAAATAATTCAACCATCTTGGCATAGGACATGGATAAAATGGCAGTGACAGGTAACATTCGACAACCTTTGAGCATGTAAGGAAACTGAAATGCGTGTAACTCCGGTCTCCAACGCTCAACAAGAGAAGTGATTAGACCATGGTCTAATCGGATAGGTTGCACACGGTGCACTCCATAAACCCCCGACCGATGCAACATTTCATAAACTCTATCATCATGAAAAATTGTTGGAAGACTACCTTCGTAGCGAACCGGAGAGACTTTGTTGTCTATAAAATCCGGGTTATGCCACACCTCACGCGAACGATATGTAGCTTGTAAAGTAAGAAGTCCCTCGATCTAGGACCCGCTATTTCTCTCTCAAGATCATACATTATGCTTCAAAAAAAATTCTAATGAGCTTCTATCTACTCATAGTACAATAAAATGGTTAAAAAAAAATATGTATTGCATATTGTAAAATTTAAAAATATGCATTACACATTGTAAAATTTAAAAAAATATGCACTACATATTGTAAAATTAAAAAAATGTATTACATATTGTAAAATAAAAAAATATGTATTACATATTTAAAAAACTTATAAAGAATTATTCTAAGAAAACATACCTCAACTTCTTGAATAATTATTGAAGAATAGATAAATTTTGAATATTTAGTGAGAAAAGAAGAGAAAGAATGTGAGATGTAGTTGAAAAGATTATGAATTTTGTGTAAAAAGAAGTAAAAGATTTGATTATTTGTAGTGGAATTGGGAGGAGTAGTAGTTGAATGGATTAGGTGTGGAAATAGGGAGAGGTGGAGTGTGAAATGGAGAAAGGGGGGAGGGGTCAATGCGCATTTGTACTGTAGCACTGAAAAATGGCTTTGTAAAAGCCGAAAAATTTAAATTTAAAAATAAAAAAAGAAAATGGCTTTATAAAAGCCGAAAACCATTAAAAAAAATTAAAAAAAACGGATTGTCAAAAGCCGATTTTCCTTCTCAGGAATTAACCTTTCCCATTTGGGAATTACATTCAAAATTTTTTCTCTCTTAGAGAAACCACCCAGTGGCGGATGCAGAATTTTTTGCACTGGGCAGATTTGGTTAGCACAAATATAATAAAAATAAATTAAAATAAAAAAACCACTTAATTAAACTAAGAGGCTGTTTGGCAACTTCTGAATAGGTAAGTGCTGAACCAGTAAGAGGTCTGAACCATTAAGTACTGAACCAGTAAGATGTCTGAATCATTAAGAGCTAGTATATTGCTTAACTATCCAGAGGCAAATGTCTGATCAATTCAGATAAGAAATCTTAACCATTCAGACTCTGTATAATACTTAACCATCCAGAGGCAAATGTCTGAGCCACTTAGACATCTGAACCATTAAGAGGCTGAAACAAACAGTATGAACCATTCAGACATCTGAACCATTAAGAGGCTGAAACAAACAGCCCCTAAAACAAACATACATTCTATAATTGTTCTCTATGAGTTTTCTTTTTTTAAAACAAATTTTCGTTTGTCTAAAACGATCAATTACATCTACGTTTGTAAAATATTAGAAAATTCTAAGAACACTTTGTGTAAGTCATTACACTACTTTAGCTTTTTTAAACCACAATTTCACAAAATAAGCTTTGTAAAATATTAACCAAAGAGTCCTAAAATTTTTAAACACAATTTTTTGCAATATTTTGCTTTCTTTACTCCTACAGTCCTATTCTATTTCCTAATAAATTCAATTGTCAACGATGACAAGTTCTATGTTGGACTTTAAGTTTATCATGAGTCTACATATGAGGTAAATAAATAAATCCTAATTATCTATATGAGCATTTATTTTAATAAAAAATTAAAAAATAAAAAAAATGAATTTTTATGTGAGGAGGTGTACAAAAAAAGAATGCACTCAAGGTACCTTATAGAAGCACTCGTCAACAATTGTTAACAAAGTAACACACTATACATAAAATAATTTTTAGACTTAAAATTCAAAAATTCCATATATATAAAAAAAGAAATACATTATAACTTGATAAGAAAAAGAAGTAACAAGATGGAACGATTTCTGCAGCTTTTCTTCGTGATTTATGGACGACGGCACGACACAACAATTGAAGAATGATAATTAGAGAAGAGATCTACTCTATTTTTTGCCCTCAGTGAGAAAAAGAAACGTAGTGGAGTCATTTGAAGTCTATCTGCAAAAAAATTATTAGTAACATTTAATCTATATTGCATTTGGAATTTTTTTATTGCATTTCGTTAGGTAAATTTTTGTCTTCATTTAGTCTTTTTGTTTAGGTTGGGGGCAATAATGGTAATTTTTCAAAATTAAATGGGGCTAGTTGGCAACTCCTATAAAATTTTAACAATGAAACAACATTTTTTACGTTGCAAATATATATTTCATTGGGGGCAATAGCCCCCCCTACATCCTAATTAGATCCATATACACACACACACACACAAAATTGCTGCCAGGTACCCTCTATTTTGTGGTAAGCACTACCAAGTAACCCTAATTTTCAAAATATACTCTCAGGTACGCCAAATTATAAAAAAATATACCAAGAGAAGATTTTAGATCCATTCTCCATCTATCCCCCTTTCTCCGTTAAGTGCACCACAATCATCATCATTCATCATCATCATCATTCCACCACCACCATTCCATCTTCTTCGTACTTCCTCCTCCTCCTCCTCCTTCTTTCTTCTTCTTCTTCTTCTTCTTCTTCTTCTTCTTCTTCTTCTTCTTCTTCTTCTTCTTCTTCTTCTTCTTCTTCTTCTTCTTCTTCTTCTTCTTCTTCTTCTTCTTCTTCTTCTTCTTCTTCTTCTTCTTCTCCCCCTTTTTCAACTTCCGATCTTCCAGACCCCCACCACTCACCCTTATTTCTTATTCTTCTCCTTTTATTACTACTACTACTACTAATATTATTATTATTATTATTATTATTATTATTATTATTATTATTATTATTATTATTATTATTATTATTATTATTATTATTATTTCGTTGTTGGCAAGGTTCCCAGGCCATGACATTGCCCGGCAATGTCATGTGAAGAAGAAGAAGAAGAAGAAGAAGAAGAAGAAGAAGAAGAAGAAGACGAAGAAGAAGAAGAAGAAGAAGTTATAGTACTCCGTCCGTCATCTATTTCTGCAACAGTGCTACATCATCTTCTGCAGCAGTCTGTTTATTTGATCGATCTGTTTGCGTAGATTATTTTTTATTGGTGATTTCCACTGCCCCCACGAATTCCACAGTGTTTAGTTTTTTGCAAGTTCTTTTCATATTAACCTCACTGTATTTTACTCATGCCATAATGTCCTCGCTGTTGTACCAGTTCGTTGCAAACATAAAGTCCTTGCAGTCAAGTACATAATGTCTTCATAGAACAAGACCTTTTGAAGTTCTTAAAATTATTTTTCCAATTTTGTTGTTTAGTCTATAATACGCTAAATAAATTATAATTTCAAGAACAATTGTATGATTGTTTTGAAACTGCTTGGGTTGTAATAGGTGTATTATTAACACGTAATGGAGGACCCCAAAATCAACTAAAAGAGAGCGAGAGGGATGGCAAAAAAGAAGTATAAAAAATACACACCGATCAACATACTCTATTCATTGCATCCCTTCCATTCTGGAGTCATGTACTCAAGAAAATCTTCAACAAATAAAATTGTACAGGACGGAAAGAATATGAGCATGTGCTAAACAAAAAGGCACATTCAAAAGGCAATTTAATCATCAAACGTTACATTATTAATAAACCAATTAAGCACAAATCAAAATGAATAAAGAATAATAATTGATCCCAAAAAGAGAGAAAAAAAGCTAAAGATCAATAAAGAATAATGGCGTATCAAAGAAAAGAACTATAGCTAAAATGAATTTTAATGACTGAGGAAAGAAATTATAAACTAGTGATGATGATGTTGCACTCTGTGTACTTCGTGCTATCATCGACAAAAGTGATAACATATTTGTTACCACCTCTTGAAGGCGTTGCTCA